CTGTATTCTCCATGGCTCACTTTCTCAAGAGACAGGGTCATATATCGAACCTGGACGCAAGGCGGTGGGATTGTTATCAGAAATAACGGTGGAGAGAAACACCCAAGTCACCAAGCTTGAAGGGATCCTACCCAGACCCCCTCATAATACACAACCAGGCCCAAGGACTCTGGCTTCTGACCGTGACAGATCCTACAACAGGCAGCCACATCAAAAGTGATCTGATGAATACATTAACTGAGTGATCTCAAGGCTGTGTCATTGGTTTGTTTTGTTTCTTTTTGCTTTATTTATATCAAATAAGTCAAATGTGTACCATAAAAGTATAAATCTCACCATATGACTATGTGTGTAGAACAAATTATACATATATCATATAAGTAATTTATTTGAAAAAAGTGTATAACGTATGATTTTGCTATATCATCAATAAAATATATATTACTTCACCAAAGCTTAGTAATATGTGCATGTATGTGTTGCTCTTTGACTAAAACATGTGCAAGTATTCTTTTACAGTGGAAACTGTTATACCTAGATAGCAGAAAGACTTGCCTTGTGTAATTATTGATGTTCCATCAATTAAATACATACATATATGTATATAGATTATGAACACATAATCTACCAACATTATCTAGGTATCACAAAATGTAAACACTGAATACATAATAAACATGTCAATTTATTTTTCCAAATAATTTTAAGATTTTATTTTATATGTATCTCTTTATTATAACCTTTATTGTTGAACATGCATGCCTCAGTATTACTTCTGGTATAATGATAATATTGACAACAGAAAATCTGTGTTATCTTAATTGTATGTGTTTTTCTCAAAATCAAAAAAGTATGGAAGTTGCTTGGTAGGGATACCAACAGAACCTCCTCCTGTGAAAGTAATCAGTAACATCTATCACTAAGAACACGTCTAATACACTTTTTAGTACATGTATATCAATACCCATGTCAGGAACGATGTAAATAATGACCTATGCAATGATTATTTGTCGAAAATATTATTGAATTTGTCTGGAGAGTAACTTTTGAATGCAAAATTTGAGTGACGCAAAATTGCATAATTTCTGCAAAGGTCACGAAGTTACGAGCCCATTACAAACCAAACTATATACATTGACTTGACGCTGTATTAAATACCTTAAACCATTCACATGCTCAAACTAGGATTACGTGCTCAAGCGTAATTTAATGCTTCAGTGATAAACTAATGAAAGTTTACGATTTGTCTCTAATTTTAAAGAACTTAAAAGCCGAATACCGTTTTCAGTATTTAACATAACTTTGTGACCTTGTCACATAATCTGAGCGAAAATCAGAAACGTTTGTGTGACCGCAGCCTGAGCATGAGAACAGTTTCATTAAACCAGCACCGTTGCAGGTCTGGGATAGAGAAAAGAACCTGCTGTTACCCACTGCATGTATCGTAAGAGGCTATTTATGTGGTGGGAACAGAATTGGGGATTTGCGTTCGTGCCCTCTACTTGGGGACACAAAAGCGACCAAAATTAATCTGTACCGATCGCAATAGTCGGGATCTTTGTATTGCTCTTTACTTTTATTTCCTAACGCCTTGCTTGGCAATAATGTTGAACGTTCGCCCAGGTGAGGAAGGCAATGGGTTCTGTACTCAGGCCGAGACATAACAAAGTCCTTAAAAATGGTAGTTGTTATTCCCTGGTTAGCGTTCAGCGTTTAGGGTAATGGCAACAACTGGTTCACCCGTTGTCAATATAATATTATCGGGCAGAATGCTGTGCATGGTGCCTTTGGCATGGTATTTTAATGAGATAGCACTATAAAGTCGGCATCAGATCAGCACAAGGAGGAAGGTACACCAACATACCCTGTCTCGAATGCACATAAACACACGAATGCTTACACAACACACATGGAGGCACGTCCTTAAATGAACTTATATGTGAATAAGACGTTAAATAATAGAAACAAAAACAAAATTATTATTATAGTCTGTTTCATATTCTATATTCATTTTCTGTAATCAAAACTGAAGTACCATTGTTTTATTTATTTTTGTGAAAAGTTTGATTGCCGTGATAAAAACTAGGTGTTAACAGTTTTAGACAAAGATCCATATCTCTCGGCTTTTTAGCAACAATACAGATAACAACTGATATGGCCGTATGCCTAATATGTATCAACTCAAAGTTTAACAGAAACACATCTGTCAGAAATGTCCAAGATCTGGAATAGATAGCCTCAATAGTGGACAGCCGTGTAGCTAGTTTTGGCACGATTGTAGTCCTGAGGTAACACGTGATCTGAAACCCTTGTATAGTTTATTTAAAACTCGACCAACGCGTACCTTTATTTTATTTTTTAGACTGTGGTGTCTGACGTTAACAAGATTCAAACGTGGTAACATATTGAATGATCACACCAATACAATTCGTAGACAATGAGGTTTTGTAAAATTTCTATAGTCACTGACAGATGTTGTGTACCAGAAGAGGCCTATTTAAGGTTTATACTGGATTACAGACACTTGCTACGGCTAATACATAAATTTAATGTGTGAAGATGACTATTTAATTACGGTCCATATGCCTTTGTAATCAGACTGGCTGCGTCCCGGCGACCAGGGGTTGGAAGATTGAACTCGAGTGATGTCACGATGACCAGGGGTTGGAAGATTGAACTCGAGTGATGTCACAGCGACCAGGGGTTGGAAGATTGAACTCGAGTGATGTCACAGCGACCAGGGGTTGGAAGATTGAACTCGAGTGATGTCACGGTGACCAGGGGTTGGAAGATTGAACTCGAGTGATGTCACGGTGACCAGGGGTTGGAAGATTGAACTCGAGTGATGTCACAGCAACCAGGGATTGGAAGATTGAACTCGAGTGATTTCACGGTGAACAGGGGTTGGAAGATTGAACTCGAGTGATGTCACGGCGACCAGGGGTTGGAAGATTGAACTCGAGTGATTTCACGGTCAACAGGGGTTGGAATATTGAACTCGAGTGATGTCACAGCGACCAGGGGTTGGAAGATTGAACTCGAGTGATTTCACGGTGACCAGGGGTTGGAAGATTGAACTCGAGTGATTTCACGGTCAACAGGGGCTGGAAGATTGAACTCAAGTGATTTCTTTATAAAGATAACCGAATCGGTTAACAGCAAGGGAATATAAATTAGCTTGAAGAGTATTACTGAGATATTTTTCATACTCATGTATGTGGGGTTTATCTTGAAGAAATACTTATACAAGTATTAATCCTATATAATGTTGTTCACAAGCTTTCTTGGCTGCGTTTGTCATACACATGAACACTGAGTATAACTAGTACTAATTAGAGTAAGAAACGCTTGTGTAATGCTGTTCATTAACCCTCGACTGCGTTCATTATTAGAACGAACACTAAGTATAACCAGTACTAATTAGGGTGAGAAACGCTTGTGTAATGCTGTTCATTAACCCTCGACTGCGTTCATTATTAGAAGGAACACTAAGTATAACCAGTACTAATTAGGGTGAGAAACGCTTGTGTAATGCTGTTCACTAACTCTCGACTGCGTTCATTATTAGAACGAACACTAAATATAACTAGTACTAATTAAGGTGAGAAACGCTTGAACTGAAAATATTGCTACAAGGCTATTCATCTCGTGGCAACCAGATCAGTCCTGGATGACATAGAGATGGTAACGAGTGTGGGAACCCCCCAAAACGGACTGGAGTAACTGTCACTGCCATATGGTACATCTAACATTGTTGTTTTGGAAGGGGAAAGTCAACTTAGAAGTTACTTATGCACAATAGGTGGTACCTACTCATGAATAGTTAATGTTGTATAGATTGTTACTTGGGGAAGATTTAGGAAGTAGGAGTCGGAGTCCAGAGTTGAGAGTCGGAATTCGAGGTTCGGGAATCTGAGCCTCTGGAGAGAGGGGAGGGGCCTGGGATGACCCGGGTACAGCACTTGGTGTGCTTTAGAACTATGTGTTTGACGTTGTATCTCTAATCTGTGTGCAGGTAGATTTGCTGTCATGGTCCAGAAATATGTTTAAAAGGACAATTGTTAAATTTAAGGGAGATCTTATAAAGGGGGCCTACTCGAGGTATGGACCCTGACTGTCGCGGCCACAACGTGAAGATAATAAAATCAATATGCCCACTATTGTGTTACAACATTGTTAATATGAGCAAGCGAAATCAACTTCAAATTCTGTATATCTAACATTGCACGTATGTGTGTTCTTCTGGCATAAACGCAAACCACATAATAGTACAAATCCCGCACATAATGGCATTTAAATTGCAGTTGCTAAGATAACAAATTTCTTAGTCTAACGCACTATTTGAAACTCATTTATTTCACTTATAAAATAGCAGAAAAAAAGTATTCAAAGGCCTTGTCTTCTCTACAAACCATGACTCATACTGATTAGGGACATACACATTTTAAAGTGCATCCGTTGCTGAAAACGGTTCTGTCCTGTTTGAATGATCGCATAGTGGGGGCAGATTCCCTTGGCTTGGTACCGATCATACTTATGTCACTCACTCTTTTTAATGAGACAAGACATATGACGCATATGAAACTTGTCCTATCCGTAGATCTAGAGGAGTCACTGTTTTTAACACAGGTATGCCGTTTATCTATATAACCGCTTGTTTAAATCATCTACAGGATAGGAAATCGGCATCAGTTCCGCGCTATCACAAGGAGATCTAGACAGACACGAACATTTCGCAGCCTCCCAAAACACACACGTATACGCTACACGCATGCATCTTGCACACAGGGGAGGCCGTCCTTAAATGACCATAGCTGTTGATAGGACGTTAAACAAAACAAAACAAAACCAAATCGGCGTATAGACATCATATTTGTCAAGGTTCGTGCTTGATTGGTTTACACCCTTTGTTCCAAGTGTCCTGATTGGTTGTCTCTTCAAACAAACGCAACTAGGTAGGTAGGTTTTTAAAGCACTTGATTGATTTGTAACGTGTTTAAGTAAGGCCGATATGTGTGATCTATATTTCTGATGAACGGAATTTCACAGGATACCTGGAATGGAGGGAATTGATAATCGGATTCTTTTTCAAGTAGCCGTTATCTTCCTATTACTGAACTTTTCAGGTAAGTGCTACTTCTGTTTTTTTCATGTGATGCACATACGAACCTCAACAATTTTATTTCATTTCATATATTTTATAACTTTGATAATTTGCACACCAATGACTGTAATAAAACCTCCCGACGGTCAATTATCCGGGGTCGTGATACCCAAAAATGTACATCGCATCACTGTCGATAATAGATTTATATTGATATCTTGAAGGCAATACGTGGATTTGGAATAAGTTTTTTGCACCCAAAAATTCCGGTCTTACTGATGTATCGCTTGCGCTATGTAACCCCTCCCCCTCTCATAAAAGGGGAATTAAAAGCAAAATATACAGATCAATAAATAGATAAAAACAGAGAAACAACGAACGGAAACAAAAGAATAAAAAACGAAGTGTGTTGGTTCACCACCTTCGAGTTCTAACTACTCGGAACCCAATAAAAGCTGTAACATCGGGACTCCTCCCTGCTGATCTATACTTATCTGTGTTTTATTTCTAGCACACATTAAGGAAGCTATTCTAGTTCCTCCCTAGCTTCTATGGGTTTTGTTTTTACTACGTTTGTAGATATTATTTCACAACATTTTAATTCCATATATCTATTGGGAAAGTTGACATTCAACCATTCCTACCGTGTAACTTTAATTGTGTACGCCTACACTTTTACAAATATATTGAATTAAATTATCTGCATGGATTTATATTTGTCATTTTGAATATTTATCGTGTTCTGCTTCAATCTGTTGAGTAGTTTCAGAGGTCATCCCCTGAAACGATAGTAGCTTACTGTAACTTGTAAATAATTATCCGCTGTACTGTATTCTATTCCCAATGTTTAGCTAGTGTACTCTATTTGTACATCTGAAGTAATCATTCTCCATAGTTGCTGATTTTACTGTGAGTGCGATTCCGGCCGGGTCCGTCGGAGGCTTTTGTCCTAATCAGTACACATGTGGGAGAGAAATGGATGAAATCTATGTGCTTGTTTTCTCAATCCTAGGGTACTACATGTTTCTTATAATCGTGTTCCCTATTGACACAATACTGCTTTATCAATGGTGTAGGTTCTGTAAAGGAGCCCCTGCTTAGCTTCGTATCGTCAATTCTATGACGATAAACATTTCAAACGTTGTTTTAATTATTTGTTCGTCAAAGTTCAGAAGCTATAAACAGTCACCATCAACTAAATGAGAACCCCAGTTTGGCTTCTGTAGCTACATAATACCTCTACATAAACATTGTCTATGTTCGTTAAAGCATGATACATATGAACCCTACCTATAGGACCAGTTCATTGTGTGTTTTAAGGCTAAAAATCTACATGTCAAGATTAATGATTGGTTGAGTTAATTTTTCTAAGTATTAATATTTTATAATAATTGTTTAAAAAAATATGTATTTATCCAAAGTTGATGAATATGAAACTTAAACCGTTTATGTTTCGTTCCATGTTTTCTTATTTTAAATATATCATCGATTTGTAATTTACATACCTCAAGTTATCATAAAGCTAACAAGCTTTACAACAGTAGCGTCTACGGCCATCGATAAAGTGGCTGTTATATTCCAAATGTATTGTGCCCCACACACTCCCGACTTCGCCGTCAACTTATCTCGTTTACCCATCTCCAGCAGATAACACTAACGAGAATCTACCAAACCCATAATTAACCAAACTGCTAAACGCCGGAAAAAAGTAAGGTGACATTTAAATCAGCAATTGATTTCATGATTATCATAAGTGATGACAATGTACATGTCATGGGATTTAAAATGATTGTCCTGTTAAATTTAACACATAAATACTTGTTTACATAATTGAATACATTTTACTTCATTATTTAACAAGTCGATCAAATACAGCATTTACAAGTATTTCCTCTGCAGCGTCTTATTGCTTCTAGTGTATATCATTTTTGTGAGATTTTACACAGTAATTCGCGATAAAACTCATTCTCGAATTACGCGTTTTACGCGAATATGAATATCACAAGTAATAACTATCATTCTTAGAATAAAAAAATCGTTTTTGCAATCCAAAATGATTTGCAAATAAAATGTACAGCTTTGTAAATTAAGTTGTATAAAGAAGTCGATGGTCCTACACATTGGTTCATAAAATGTGCTTTAATTTACATAAAATGTTCATCTTGATGTTTTGCTGTTACCAGCGGTAAAAAGTAAGTAAATGCACGTGTTAAGAACAAAAAAGAAATATTTGTTTTCTAGGCGAGAAATCCTATTTTAATTTGAGAAAATATTCTACATTTTGTATACGGATAGATAGCTTAAGTTTATTTGAGCATATCTAAATGTTCAGGAGGATTCAACTGAAAACACCATTTACAGTATACCCTCCGTGAAACGTTCGCCCAGTGCAATTTTCGACCTACACATGGTAAAATCCGCCTTCGACTAGTGCGAATTTCGCGTTTTACTGTTGATTGCCATGTTTAGTGTATTTATATTAAAACTCGCGTTCTCTCTTATGATCAATTTACCCTCATAACGGTGGGCGAACACGGTGAACGTTTAACTGCCACGTATATTTCTCGGGATGCAGTCCTTTCCAATTTAAATTATTTTTGAAGAAGTGTAATACTGATAAATAGAATCAACTGAAAATATTTTTAGCAAAAATACAAATATTTTGCAGTTTAGGAATGGAATCTTATTAGCTTTAAAAAAGTAAAAACGGTTATTATCCTTAATATATATTTCAAATTCAAGTTATGGACCTTTTTACTACAAAAACTTTTTTAAATTCTTTCCTCATAGTAAATGTGAGTATTTGACGATTTTTAACAATTAAACCGGCCACTTCAATGACTTAAACGTAACATTCTATTGGTTATTTTGAGCATTTTATGGAATTTTTTTCTTTTCTTTTTTTAAAATTATACGACATATAAAAGTTAGCTAAAATATTCCACCTATATGTGGCGCTGTGAAACAAGACACTAGGATATTCCGTTTGTACAGAATGAACTAGTCGGTCTATTTCAAAATAAGATTACATTGTATGACGTCATACTTGGTGTTTTCGAATATAAAAGAAACTTTAATAAGATCCGTGATTGAGTCTATGTTTAAGACAATTAAATATCAAAGATAAGTTTGATATTGCAAAAGTCCTTTACATTCATTAATTCTGTCCCAGATACATTGTAACAATGGACAGTTGATAGAGCACAGCATGTACACACATATACCTTTATGTTACCGACACCTCGTATATCACTTTACAACTTACAATACAATTGAACAAAGGTATATAAACTTAAAACATTATTACAGTAGATTAATGTTAGGAGGTCATATACTTAATTAGTCAAATGATTTAATCAAGGATATAGTATACTCACTGTGACATGGAAACTTAAGGGTGTATGCTGCCTTACAGTGATACGAAGGTTTGATGGTGTTTGTTAACTCATTGTGACATGGAGACATAAGGCTGTATGTTACCTCATTGTGACATGGAGACTTAAGGCTGTATGTTACCTCATTGTGACACGGACAGTTAAGGCTGTATGTTAACTCACTGCGACATGGGAAGTACGGGTGTATGAAAATTAGCTGTGAAATGGAGGCGTATTGGTTTGTGCTATGGTACCGTGAGAATGACACCTAACGGTGTATACTTAGTTACACAGAAGCAGAGTATCACAGTAATATAACATTTGTTACTTTTACAATATTTCGATAACACATTTATTTAGATTAAATATGAAAAACACCTTTTATATAAGTTATCAAGTTGTTAATATCAACATATGCATAATAATGTAAACTACAGTACGTTATCACAAAAAGCATAAACCACGTTCTGCAGGTCGAGTGATAGCTAAATGGCCGGAGTCTAACATACATACATGCGAACATAGCAAAATGTAAAAAAAAAGCTAGAATATACGCTATAATAACGACGACTAAAAGCTATTTTCTTTATCTCAAAATATTAATCCCTATAGTGATCTATTGATCTCTGTGAATGAAAGGGTTAAATAGGACATGTTGCTACTAAGGAGAAGAGAGTTATATTTACGAGATTACATAGTGCATTGTATAAATCTCCACACTTCGGTTACATATCGGTACGGGTGGGCGACTGTATAACAGTTGTATCCGTATACATTCTTTCTTTAAATCAAAAAAAAAAAAAAAAGGATTTTGTGTATGTCTATATCCTAAAAGAGCCTCGTTTTGGACAAAAAAATGTGTGTCTTGAGCTCAGAAGTGTTCCTTTCCTTTCATACAATGTAATGAAGGGGTTTTAGTTCGGATAACTGCATTTTGGAATGGTTGGAAATCGAAAAAGAATGTAAAACCGCCGATTTCCAATACGGACGCTATATGTCTGATCTTGAATAAACTAATCTGTTTTCTAATTGAAAGAGCAGCTGCAGTTGGACACATAGTACAAAATCCGAATATCATAGTTTTAGATTAATGCTCATTATATGTTACGTTTATAACAGTTCAATATCAACCAACTTCGGTTAGAAATACAAGAACCATTCTTCAAGTCGCACGTATTGGTATATCTCTCAAATGTGCAAAATTCTTCACATAACAGTTTTGCTGTTTTTAACGCCGAGTACGGCTATAGACCCTGCTTACACCCTCGGATGTTTATACTAGAGAACTGGAACTGGTACTATCGAATTTCTTCAAGATAACAAATGCTAACCTGAAAAAAGCTTACCGCAGAAAATGTGTCAAGTAAGTAAAAGACATTCATTTAACGATACTGTTGCTAACATAAGTAACTTTTACGTCGCAATAGTCAGAACACCCAAACAAGGGACGTCACTTAACGCATTCACCCCTGAAGATTCATAATCAGTTATTCACGTTTGAATTGGAAGAGTTCCAAGGTGTCTTCAGGGGTGAATGAGTCACAGTGTTAAACACTTGGGCGGTACCACAGGTACAAATAATAATATTAGTATGAAAAGGGCCCGTCAGAATATGAAACATGGCGAAACTTGATACCTTTGAATCTTA